ATATAAATAGAAAACGAAGCAAATGATACAACGTATAGAGACATGAATAAATTGAATCTCTCTCACACGGTTTCATCAGGAATGATGGATTTATTCAATTTATTCAATCAACAGCATCATAAAGATGCAGTGCGCTAAATGCAAAGCCGCTGTTAAGCGCGAAGCGCAAATGTGCAAAAAAGAAGTAGAGAGGGGAGAGGGAGATAATGAGAGACAGAGAGGGTACAGGGCGCCAGGGGGTGGGGGCGGTCTCCCCCGCCAAATGAGGAGAGAGAGAGAGAGAGAGAGAGAGAGAGAGAATGAAGAAAGGAAGAGGACGTAGGAAGAAAAAAGGATTAAGAGTCGAGAACGGTACAACGAATCGTCTTTTTTCTCTAATATTTTAATGAAACCTCAAAGCTTCCGCCCTTAGCGCGGGGAGGGGGGGGGGGGGGGGGGGGAGGAACTGAATTCAGACAAGGATTAAGAGTCGAGAATGGTACAACGAATCGTCTTCTTTCTTTAATAATTTAATGAAAACTCCCCTCACTGCCCCCACCCCTAGAGAGTGCGCTTTGCGTGCTCACTATACCGCCCCTCTAAAATAAAATCCTGGCTACGCGCTTTAGAGGATAATAACCCAGGTAGCAAGTCCATGTGGGACCCACATGGGTCCCATATTCTCTGAATTGCTATCTTTCTTGAGGTTGACTTGAAAGAGTTAATAACTTAGAAAGGAGGGGTGCAACCTGCTACACGATTCTACCTCTTGGTTGCTTTAATCCATTGCCGAAAATATTTTGGCACCTATCACCCACCCCCCCCCCCCAACCACGGATACAAATCGACACCCCTGTCCATCGGGTCACTTACGGAGATGGGGCCGAGTCCCTGGACGCTTAAATATCCATCTCTTGTAATTTGTAATGTTTATGTTTTCGTAAGCACATTTTATCAGCTGTCTGAAAAGGCATTATACAAATGTTTTGTATTATTATTATTATTATGATGTGCTTTTATCCAGGAAAATATTTAATATGAGGGGGGGATATGTTGATAAACCATAGAGAGGGGGGGGGGGGGGGGGGGGGGGTGGAGGACAATCAATAATCGTCCAGGGTCCCGTCTTATAACGAGTTGCGATTGATCCACATCAATCGCAAGTCATCTTATCAATCGTAAGTTTGCAGGCCCTTATCTAAAAACTAATCTAAAAACTTGCGATTAATATATCAACTCACTATTAGACGGGGTCCATGCAGGTACCCAAGGTGTAAAGTGTTCACGTTGTTTACTGTGTATATAATTGTGAGCGACCTGCTCAAGTAGAAATATTCTAACGTGGACATGTATTAGATCATTTCATTTTCTATACATGTAGTTCATTGCTGGTGGCATTCCGTTGAATGACAATGTGTGTTGTCCCACACGACGCACACCCATTGTCAATAGAGAGAGTCCGTCAGTAATATTCGCCACCCCACGCTCTTTGAGCAGACGATATAACAGTAGAGAAAGCGGACCGCCTCGCGGCTTGACGTTGCTTAGTAACCCAAAGTGATCTGACACGCACCACTGTGCTGGTACAATGTCCCGCTTTATAACACATGTAGTGAGTCCTTGTAAATGTGTGCTGGAACCAGATTTGTGCTCACCCATTCTAAACCATGGAGAATCTTTTCCGGGTCTGAAGTAAATCCTCGATTTAGGACAGGTTTTTGGACACATTGAGGGACTAGGCATGAAGTAGGGGTCATCATGGCGACAACGGCAACGGTTTGTAAAACTATTTGGATTTTTGGAATATAGACATATGTTTGTTATCAACTATTTTGTATGTTTATACCGGTACATTGTGAGTATAGATAAGGGTATATTTCAGACGTTGTTATGGACATTCCCTCTTGTGCAAATATTATATCTGTAAGCGTTATACACTAAACATCTATATTTCTCCCCTCAAAGGTATGTTATGAGAGGCACAGACCTTAAAGAGAAAGAGAGGAGATATGAATGTATAAATATATGTACATATTTAAAACTCTATATTGTCATTTATTTAAGTATGACTCTAATTTGTTTTCAGTGTCTCGAAATGGTCAAGGGCAAATTTGTAAAAGATTGGAGTTTTGTAATATAATAAGTCAATATCGGAAGTGCCAATCAACAGATTATTCATCAAATGTTGATTAATATAAACAAAATACATTTACATAATTCAATTGTTGATCTTTCATAACTAACATTCATCTTTGATTACATATGTATGTACTAATACTACAAAGCAAAGGTTTTGAAATTAGTTTCCACACAAAATCATTCCATATCATGTCACCAAAAATATTACAGTGTATTATTTTTAAAAGATTAAAACAATATACATGTATTTCAAACATAATTAAGTATTAACACATCAACAGTTCTGGTAACACAGGTTACCAAAAGAGAGAAAGACAGAACACATATACTCCAAGAATACAAGCTTTAACACGTCTTTTTTAGCCGCACATAATCCTGTTATTGAGGCACTGTTCATACACCTGCACAGCACCTACATCAGTACGAGAATCCACCAGACGGTGGCCCAAATTATAGCGAAAAGAAGATGTGTGTATATATATATCATTAAATTGTGAACAATAGCCACTTCAAGTATCGACAAATATTTAGTTATTGGCAGCTGGTCGTAGCAGCAGTCCCACAACGACAGTCTCGTAAAGGCTAAACAAACTAGTACTGGTTTGCTGCTAATCAATGTTACAAATCTCAATGATAGCAATGCGGGGGAAAAATTAACATAAAATGTAAAACCATACATACTTTTCTTCCCCAGATCTTAATGAATTGAAAGATTTCCACCACTGCACTGTTTTATGAAAAAATAAGATTTACCTATGTTTTAAAAGCAAGTTTCTGTGGAAAACAACAGTCACAAATTAGCATGGAATGTAACCTTAAATATTTTTCTCACCACTGGAAGATTTCCTCACTAGAGTTGTTTGGGAAGATTCAGACTTCCATGTACGGTACATATGTTTGTAAAGAAATATTATAGGGGAAAAAAATTCAGGTAATTTGCCTGAAAGGTAACCATTCTTTACCTCTACAAATGCGTAATAACTGGAAAGTTTCACATGTTTATGAAATTAATATTGTGTACATACATTTCTTGAGAAATATTGTTTGGGAAAAAACATGAAGAAATTTATCTGAAATTAAAACTGTAACTCTTCTTCTTGTCTGTTTACAGATGTTTATGAACTGGAAGGTTCCTAGTCGTCCTCTACAACCAGGATCCGAACACTGCATTCGCTGGTGCACCACCAGAAAAGACGGGCTACAGTAAATGTAAGTTTAAACCCCACTGCACTTCTTATAGCTACTTGCGCCCTCTATATAGCAAACAATGCCTAATCGGTGCCTGTTGGTCCCCCATGATCCCATTTTTCTTTGGTTAATGGAGAGCTGATTCAATGAGATACCCACCTGTCAGTGACCCGTGGCAGGAGGTTTAATCCCCCTGGCCAAACTAGTACAGACAGGCTTTAAGGTCTTTCCCTTTAATATCATGGTGATCATAAGAGATGAGAACACTCTGGCCCAAATCCATTTGATATCCCAAGGTCTAAAGCAGGGTTTAAACTTCCACAGAGGACTAAAAAGAGAGAGGAGGGTGGTAAACGTTCTAATACCAGGGTCATTATTTAATTCAATACCTGGATTAAGTTAGTTTTTCCTTGGCTAAGATCAAAATGATGCACAATTAACAGGTTGCGATAAATGAGCGCTAATATAATTGTGCGCAGCTTATGATGATGGGTATGTCTATAAAAACCATATGCCTGCCAATACAGGCCTCCAAAATCAATGGCTTAAGCCTGCTCGCTGTCTTAAATTGAGGGTTAAAACACTTAGCTAAAATCTTCAACTGAATACCAAAGTTAGCTCTAAAGTACTTTAACTCAGTAAAACACTAAGTAAAATACTCATAGTATTGAATTGAATACTGCCCTCCCCCCCCCCCCCCCCCCCCATTTGACATTAGGACATACATACTGTACGCTTTATGGAGGTTAAAACCTATGCTTTTTGCATTGTGTAGTACCTTTTGACTAGATACCCAATGCTAGCTGAACTACTTAGTTCCCAAATACAAAATGAATCAACTTCAAGTGAATGGTTGCTCAGAAGCATTTTCCTGAAATATACTCGGACTTCTCTTGAACTCTAAATTAAGTCTTGACAGATGACACAAAATATATTACATACTTTAGAACAGTTTCTCTTGACTGTCATTGTATTGTTAGCAGTCCTCAAAATGAAATGACTTTGTATTAATGATCTCCATTTCCAGTCCTCAAGTAACTCTTTGAAGCTCTTAGTTGCTAAACTTGCTAACCACAGAAAAAAATGTGCAAATTGCTGCTTTACTCTCATAATCATTGCATTACAGGAATTTTCCACATGGTTTGGGATATGGAATATTATCTGATCATCAAGTCACAGAGTGTTGCTCTTTTGCTCAAAATACCACAGAAAAGTATCAAAGTTGCTTCTTTTAATACTCCAATTGTATTACATGTACAACCACTTCTCCATTCCATATAGAGATTTAAATACCTCTCTTCCACTACTTCATCAGTCATTAACCACAGAATACTGCCCACATAGCTTTTTTTTCCTTAGGTATTTTTTACAATCACTGCTCTACTGTATGGATACAGTGTTTAATACTTTATCTATTGATTCCCTCATATCCCTAGCTTTAACACAGGGGCAATCTGATTCTGTAGGTAAAGGGTTAAATATGTCTTTTCCATTCCTTCCTCAGTTTCAGAACACCAAAAAGTGTCAAAGTTGCTTTTTGTCTCCATTTGTAATACAATAATTTGCTCCACATAAATACAGTATTTCTTTTCCATTCCTTCCTCAGTCACAAACTATTGGAAAGTATCAAAAATTCTTATTCTCTAACTGTATTACCAGAATTATATAGAGTATTTCTTTTCCATTCCTGCCTCAGTCGCAAACCATAAAAAAGTGTCCAAACTTGCTGGTCATATGCCACCGTCGTTGCTGACACGGAAGATCACTGCCCCACGATGACGACCCACGTGACCCCTAAGCAAGGGCTGCTTCGTCAGAGGAGAGAGAAGGAGATCGACGAGCAGATCATGAGGGAGAAGTACGCCGCAGAGAAACAGACAATGAAGAACCCATCATCTGGAAGTAAGAAAGAAAACGAAAAATCCAGATTCATTTATAAATATATTATTTTTATTTATATCATGATACTTAGGATGGTGCAAAAACAAGTTAATGATTCTTCAGAGAGCATTAGGAAGTTGATAGTTTTTTCAGTGACTATGTACAAATGGGATAGTATGCCACAGAGAAACAGACACCAAAGATTCCTTCATCTGGTTGTGAAAAATAAAATGAACAAAATTCACTGAGTTTAGATTGTGACACTTGGGGATGGTGAAGAAACAAGTATATGATTTTAAGAAAGCAATTAGAAAATTGTTAGCCTATTCAGTGACTAAGCAATTGGGATTAGTATGCAAGGGAGAAGCAGGCACTGCCAAAGAGACCAAGGTCTGGAGGTGTGAAGAAAGAAAACAATACATGGATGGTTAAAATATAACAAACAGGGGCTACACAAGCAACAAAGAAATAAATTAGATTTAGAACTTGCTGAATGTTTCTGTTTGTCGTAATTTCATTGGGTAATGCCTCTCTTTTTTTTTGTCTCAACAGTCACACGTTTCCCTGCCATGCCGGGCCTATCAGCTAAGCTGAATGTGACACAAACAAGAGATGTAAGTTTGATATTATACATATCTATTTTACTAGGTGGTGGCAACACTATCTGAGAAACACATGTTAAATTTGGTGGAAATGATTAAAATAAAAGCATAAAAGTCATGAATCTTCGTATATTCTCTCATCAACTTTTCTTTCTTTCTTCTTGTTCCTTCTCTTCCTCTTTTGGTCTGTCAGTCTCCTTTCTTTGTGGCCTTTGATGATACAGAAGTTTTTAGTATTTGTAAATATTTCGATTTTGATGTAATATTGAGAGTTATAAATTTTGTTTCATTATGCATGATTTATGGTTGTACGTTTTAGTCATTCATATTTTGATCAGTTATTGACTTTGTAAATTGAGCAATTTCAGCTTGCCAGCTGCATGTTCTTTTATTGAAAGAAACCAAATCAATTCAATTCAATGCTTTGATTCTGTTTTGTTTGTAGCGGCCACGTGATGCTGGAGTGATGCCCGTGCCCAACAATGCCGTGACCATGTCCGGTAGGATTAGGAGCGAGATCACGCAGGAGGATAAGAATTACATCGCCAACTACCAGAAAGGACCAAGTCACACTGAGACTGCAAAGGTGGTTAACAAGTGGATAGAGTCGGCTAGTGACAAAGGTAGGTGTGCATGGACTTGATATATCAGTCCACTGCAGTTCTGTCTTAGCATTATATATGACATAAGATCCTATAAGTGCTAACTTACTGATAGTGAATATAATATTCCTACATACTCTGGTATTTACATGACAGAACATTTTCGGGATAGAGAAGGTAATCTAGATTTAGATCTTGATCTTAGCCCTGGCTTTCTGAAAAAGCATTCAGAAGAAAAAATGGTAACGTAAAGAAATTTTTTTGGTCTGATACATGAAATCATCAAAATTCGTTTTTTTTACTGAATTAAATTTGTAATTTTTTCTGAGATTCAAAGTACCTATTTGATATTATTTACAAGATATTTGTATCTCACACCTAAATTTATTAATACAATATGTTCTTCTTTCAGTATGGATTTCTCTCTCTTTATTATGCCATTACATCTCTTACTGTTGCCCATATTCTGTTCTTAGATTCTATTGTATACTACATTACAAGTTCAATTGCCAACGACTTAAACACACTTGTGGATGCTCAAGAAAAATGCCATCATCTGTTATATTATCTGTTATTATATCTGTTATATCATCTGTTATATTTTGTCTTGAATGACGTTTCAGGTTGAGAGTTGGCTCTCAAGTTTTCAGTACAAAGATATTTTTTTAATTGTTCTCTCTCTATTGCTGCTATGGACCTTGTGGCTGATTAGCCCTGTGCTAAAAAAGTTATCTAATAAAGTCTACTACTTCTACTACTGCTATAATCGATCTACGGGTTCTACATTTTCCTCTCTCTCATCGCATTATTATTTTCTGGCTCTCTCTTTCTCTCACGATTCAGAGCGGGATTTGGCTTTCCAGTTTTTTGGCTCTCTTGCTGGCAAGAAGCTAATGGGTGGTGACCAGGCAGCTAAAGAAGCAAAAACCAAGCAAGGCGGAGCCTGCAACGTCTGTGATGCAACAAGACTCAAGGACGTCCTGGGTGCCCTGAAAACGTGAGTTTCTGTTTCTTGTCTTTTTTTGCATTAAAAACTAATCCAGTCACGTTAAATAATCCAATTTTATTCAATAGGTCAGAAGAATATATAGCTTTGTGTATTATTCTATTCAGGCCTTCATTATAGTTAGTGAGCAAAAATTTTCTTGTCCTTTATTAAACGCTGAATCCTTCTCCTCTATTACCCCCCCCCCCTTAAAAAGGGAGGTGGCATACTTGTAATTGAAACCTTCCCCTGATTCGATAAATAATTTGCTCTATGTAATGGGTAGCTATTTCAACACTTTGTTCTCAAATATATATAAAAAAAAGTTTTGAAATAATTGAATTACCATTGAATTTCCTAGAAAGTTTAGAAAATTTCACTTTAAGTGTTGGTAGATATTCTACTATAGGCAGTACCATGCATTTATACCTTAAAGCCCCACTTTACTACTTAGAGCTACTTGCGCCCTCTATATAGCAAACAATGCCTAATCGGTGCCTGTTGGTCCCCCATGATCCTCTTTTTCTTATGTTAATTGAGAGCTGATTTATGACATAATAACCACCTGTCATTGACCTTGCAGGAAGGTTTAATCTCCCCTGGCCAAACTAGTGCAGACAGGCTTTAACTCTCTTTATGCAATCCTATACAGAACCGGAGGACCCATTGCCAGCAGCGACCCTAAAGATCTCAGGTCCGGTGAATCCAACCGGCGCCGCCTCCGCCTCCTGTCTCCGTTCACCCGGCGACACAAGGAGGAGATGCAGTCGTGGCACCACCTACCGGCCTCCCGCCACCGGGGACCGGTCTCGAACACCATCGGTCTCTTCACCCGACCCCACAAACCCACTCAACGCCACTTCACCATACACCCTGAATGGGAGTAGATCGATCATCTCTTTAAACCTTCGACCTTCGACCTTCTTGTCACTTTGTGTCAGCGTAAACATCTCAATCTTTTAGCAAACCTTTGATGGGAACTTTTTGAACTATTTATATTAGAATTTTTTTAATGCAATTTACGAATATAAATTGTTAAGTGATAATACATTACTACTAATTAGATCATTTATATCTACCTGATGTAATTATTTTTTTGAGCGAGGTTTGCGGTTACACCATGTTGTCTTTCGACAGGGTTAGTTGGCCCAGAAAAGGGCCCATCATGCTGTATCTCGATGTTTCAATATAAAGTTCGTAATTATTTTTGTGTAACCAGTAAATATCAAATTCCAGACAATCTAATTATTGAATTTATAAGCATATTAAAATACTTACTGGTTTCATTTAAGTAGGCTTTACACAAGTCCTTTAGAATAGCAATTTTGTGAAATTTACTTTAAAAGAACTATGCTATTGTTAATTTTTTCTACATAATGGGCAATAAGCGATCAAACATTAGGTATTTCAGATATTATTTGTAATGTGTGTTAAAGCTTGTTATTTGCGTGTATATACATGTATATTTCAAGATGTCACTGGCATCACTAATTCTCTTGGTACACATATTCGGTCCATAAGACAATTGCAGTTATTTACAAGATATTTACAGTTGATTGCTGATGCCCAATAAAACATGGGTGGTTGTCGTGACTTTTAACAGATTATTCCAGGAGAATTATCATGATTTATGGTGAAGGAAACCAATTCTGTGAGAGAAAAAAAACATATCAAATGTGCATTAAGGTCGCACTGTGTATTAAAAAGCTGTGACCTCCAGACCTATCCTTCTTACAATTTGTATCCTTTACGTCTTTGGTTGATCCAAAGGTTTTTATTTTTGAGTGTGTTCTTTTTTTTCTGAAATATTTAATCTTGTTTGTCTCTTAACAAAAATTCATATATTGTATTCAATAATTAAAAATGTGTGAATGCTTATGGTTTGTGAATCTCTTCTTAAGGCCCCGTTTGGACATGACAAAGTTAACCTCAGACATACAAACAAAATATTAAAAATAAAACAGTTCAGGCAAAAGAAAAGCCATTTAATCGCACAAAATGTTAAAAACATGGGGATCTGTGATCTGTGTTTTAATCTATAGATTGGTGGTGTGCATGATGCAATCGTTTTAATATGCTACATCACGTCTGAATGAGGCTTAAGATGTGTGGGTGACCGGACATTTGCTCTAGCGACAATTGCTCTAGGCTTTAAATTTGAAGAAATAGTGTTATGGTTAGGGTTAAAATGAGGTTTTGGTTAAGGGTTAGGATGAGAGTGAGGTATAGTGTTGAGTCTAGGGCTGAATAAAAAGCATTGCTAAGTACAGGAAATTCACCTGGGGGTGGGGGGGGGGGGGGGGGAGTGTTTCACAAAGATTTCGAGTTAAATCTTATCTCTTAGTTGGACTTAACAATTATGGAAAGCCGTTGGCATCTTTGAAAATATTTTTTAAATTTTTTTTTTTAAAGGCATAAAATGTTGATTCAAACCACTCATATTTTCTGTCATCAAGGAAATTTCATGTTCTTGATGTGGAAGTTTGGCGCAATAGTCGCAGGAGCGATGTGTGTGTTGTACATATCAAATGATTATCGTTTTATTTTGTATGTTATATATTTTTGTTTTTATCTATATGCTGCATACTGTGTGGCATTGGAGTCATCACTACATCACCTTGAAATCTCATACATGGCTGATACCTTACTACAAGCTAAAAGGGGATTTTGATCTTCACTATCCAAATCCTTCTTGTTGCAGAACTTGATTACTGAACAGTGTTTGCAGTGTTCAGTAGATGTAACGGAACAATGAAGTCATTAGATCCTCTTTATGTTTGGAATTAGGTTGCTAAAGGCCGACAATGTTATGTGATTATTTTGTAGTATATTCTTATGTTTTACTTTTATATATATTTGTAAATACTTAGTAAATACCTTCTTGTTTTCCTGCTCAAAGCACTGAGTGCTTGCTATTTGTATTCATGCACAAATAAACTTCTTCCAAGAAAAAAAGTCTTCTTCATGTGTCCTTTATATATTTTTAACTATTACCTGCTTAAAAAAATTGTGTAACTATCTTCTCTTATGTCTATATAAATTGAGATACAGGAATGAAGAAACAGTGCACATAATTATTAATAAAAAAAAAATAATAAAAAAAATACTTGTTGCAAAAGTGCAGATTATTTGTACCAGAAAATAAAATTTCTGTGTTCTTTAGAAAGGGGGAATAAGACCAACTCGATGCCTGAAAAAGTGACCAATCCCGAATTATGGAAGAAATTTATATTATTGCTCTTTGTGTACCATCCAGTCATAAACCTGCATCATGAATGAAGACTAAACACAAATTAGATACTACTTAGATAAGTTTTGAATATGTTTTCATTCAAAATAGTAATCATCATGCAGAGATGGGTAGGATAAACTTCCATTCTGTATTTCAGGAAGAAGACAAGCTCTCTCTTTAACATGTACGTGTGTTACTTGGGCAGCAGTACTGCTTATTGCAATAGATTGGTTTATCTCAGACTCTCGGTGTAAATCTAGTGTATATCTCAGAATAAAAGGCTGTATATGTTTCTTATCAGCTTTATTTTTGCTTGTGGCTCCTGTCTTTCCAATCTTACCTTTTCAGGTTTTCAGCGTTTGTCAGTCTTCCCCTAGTCCCATTTCTTCATGAAGTTGTCTCGTCGTTACTCCCTCAAACATGGCTGTTGGAAAGACACAATTAATGGAATCATAATTGACAAAGAAAGGGGGGGGGGGGGACACTGAAAAGTGGTAGAAAATGAAGAGAATGGGAAGAGGTCTTGTAGAAAAATACTTTTAACTGACTTACTTCGAATCATTGGGTTATTGCGTCCATCAGGTGGTCAGGTTACACAACCTTTCGTAAAAGGAGAATGGAAGATCGTGTGAAGATGCACGTTATGGACGCGTCCTTCAGTAGATTTGCCATAGGGTTTCCACAAAGTGTCGGGTAATACGACCGCCCAACCAGACGCGATGAACCAAAGAATCAAAGTAAGCCCATTTAACTATATCCCTTGGTTTACAGACATCATGTAAAAACATACATATCTTTTTTTATCGTTACACTGAGCAAAGAAAATCTTCAAAAGGAGTCAATGAATACAGCAGCGAGCATTTTATCTCCAATTTTGTGATTTCCTCATAAAAAGCAGCGATGCAATGACTTGATTTAGAACATAGATCTTCCATGTTGAAAGACCACTCATTTATAAACCAACAGGTCATCTTGGCACCAACAAATGCTGAATTTTTGACAAATTTGCACTCAGCCATTCATATGCCTTGATTTCAGGAGCTTATAACAGTCCTTGTAATTTGTTATTAATAACAAGTTTTAAAAAACAGTGCCCAGATTTAGGGCACATTGCATCCAGAAAAACAACTGCAGAATATCCAATCATGCAGATGACCTTATCCCTTACCCAGACCCTGACTTATCATGACCCATGTTGAAAAGATCAGTGGGATTTGGGGTCAATAGCCTCTATCCAAACCACTAGGGCGCTGCACTTCCCACCTTACCTATTCTCCCTAGAAGCATCTGAGTCATGTCCTTAGTTCATTGTACTCATGCATCTTCTGGATGTGAAGCTGGAGCTCATCCTCGCTCAGACCTCTGCAATTTAACAAGTGAAGGAATTTATTAGCATAATACCATACTAGCCAAAAGAGAATAATATACTACGCTAAACTATTTACAGATGTTATATAGCAAGGTAGCATTTTCCTGATGGTGCTTTAATTAGCTTTGTAGTTGTTTTGAATATAATTTTTTGGATTGGCAGTCATAGTTCTTATTGCTCTATGAAATCAATGGAAAGAAGAAGTTTGCCCTATATTTAAAAAACTCAAAGGAAAGCTCAACAGCTAACAGATCATTCATCTGCTTGCTCTCAAGTAAATGCATATACCTTGGATAAGCATTTGTGCAAGGCTTTAAATAAATTGTTCAAAATTGGTACACTCAAATTTATATAAACAGAAATAAATGCTCATCCTTTCTCCAACCAATCTTCCAAAACACAAACGAAGAAGAAGAAAGCCTCACTCTGTCTCTTAAAAGTATTATACTAACTACCATCTTCTTTTACTTACTACATCCTTCAGCTCTGAAATCTCTTCGTCTAACTCTGATAGTCTAGCTCTCAGTTTGTCGTTCTCTCTCTCGATGGACTCTGGGGTTTCTTCTTGCTTCTTTTCACCTTGATTTCTCATCTGCAAAATATTATGTATAAGAGATGAGAAAGACTTAATACTATCCTCTACAGCTAATTTCAGTAAAAAAAAAATAGAGAGAAGAAACAAGGGGCGCTTCTACACATCTGATCCCCCTCATTTTTCACTTGACTTGACACGAAATAGAAAGTAAAGAAAAAAAAATGTCCTTTTCCTGGGTGGTTTGAGTGTAGAAAAGCTGGGTCGGGGATGGGGCGGGGATGGGCGGGGATGGGGCAGGGACTGGGGCTGGGGGGGGGGGGGGGGGGGGGGGGGGGGTAAGTGTTATTGAAATTGAATCTTGTATTGGGATTAGGTTCTAGATCTTTGGTTAGAAATCGGTTTTGGAACAGCTAGATTTTCAAATTCACACACAAGTTACTGCAGTCATTTTGAAAAGTTCCTGAACAATGTAGCATTTAGCCTTTTAGGGAAATGGGAGTTGGTCTAGTGCCGTGGCACGTTCACTTGGTCAGCTCTCTTTCTCGCCTACAAACTGGCTCAGGCGATCCCTGTTCAAAACCGAGCCACGTCGTTTGGAAGGTGACGTTAAAGGTCGGTTCCCAGATGTAAATGAACATACTGTAGACTATATCTGATTGATACACATCTGTATGTAAAAATCTAATTACACACACAGAATTCATCTCCATACTTACTGGTGACTTGAAGTCTCCTCGACTCCTTTTACGTGAAGACAGTGAACCCAATGACCTCGGATGACTTGACCTGATTAAAAAAACAAAGAAACTTTTTCTTTATCTGAAAGTGAAAGCAACATATCATAACTTTCTCGGTTGAAGTAATTTCATATTTAGAAATCATTATAGAAAGAAAAACAAGGGTCACTGAGGTGTGGTTAATATAGTCTATATAGCTATTGCCGTTTGACCTTCTGTTAAAAATCAAGCAATCCTAGTCTACTCCAAGTACTACAAGAAATTTAACAAAAATAAAAATAAAAACTTAGAAGTCTATTTTGACATGCAAAAACAAAAACAAACGAAAAAAAAAAGTCAAATGACGTGACGTGATCGACCATGATGACTCAAACTCAAAGAAAGAAAACGATCGAGCAAACAAAGTTAAACAAAATGCACCAATGAAAATATATATTATCTTACCTTGGTGTACTGCTCAAAGGCGTAGACATCAGCTTTTCACCATTACTATTTGGGCTGGATTTACTGAGTGAAGCCGTTGTTGGGGAGTGGTCAATTTCCTGTAGCGACATATCCAGTACTCCCACCCCGAGACTTCTGGCCAGATGGTTGGAGTAGCAAACGGTGGAACCCAGTGGAATTGCGGCCACCGAACGAACGTCCTAATCGACGACGTTTCACCGTTTTTTCTGTTTCACTTCATGATTTTCTACGTTTAGATCGGGAGGTTCCATCTTCGCTTTTTGGTTTTGAGCGAAAATGTCGAAATATTGGAATAATAATACAAATAATGTGTATATTTTGGTCAAATCTCGCGGCTTCTTGGTAATTTAGACACGCCCTCTTTAGTTTCATAAATGATAATGGCGGAGTCTGCTATGGAATCTGTGCGTGTGTTAAATCAGCTACATGTGGGCGAACTTTGGTCTTCACTTCAAAATTTGCCGCTGGAAATGTCTCCTTGAAGAACTACCATAGCATATTTTTAATGCAACAAGAAAAGGGACTCTTCTGTGATTTTTGTCTCA